ATCCCGAGCTCTTTCAACACCACTCGGCGAAAGAAAATCCTCAAGTGAATTATCCCTCATACCATGCACGGTATCAGCCTCTGAGTCCATACACTCGCTCTCATCAACAGCAGTCGAACTCAACGCACAATCACCGAAAGGTAGGGTTGACGTATCTAACACGGATTGGAATCCCGTATCGTCATAAGAAGAGATTCTTCTAACATATAAATCATTGATGTCCACACTCACGTCGAGAGATTGTGTTCCATCATAAACGAGAGTGAGGCCCATCTCTTTGAAAGAAGCAAACTTATCCACCATATATCGAAATTCGCCCTCTAACCGTGCACTTTCTCGACAAACATTTGCCGATAGATACTCATATCTACCAAGTGGAATATGAGAGGTGTCCAAGTCGAGGAAAGCAATAACGGTTGAGTCGAACTTCGTGAGTTTGACTTGAAGGTCAGATGGAATGGGGATGATCTTCCAATTATGAAACTCATCTATGATCGATAGGAGACTCGCAAGTATCTCTCGAGTGCTCGTCAAAACCTCTTGGTGATAGTCGGTAGATGAAGGTTGGTAATGAGGCGTCTCGTAGTGAGTTGGAGTGTAATAATCATAACCGCCTTGAGATGTTGGGTAAGAATGGCTTGGGCCATACTCTTGGAATGGAGAGTTTTCATCATAGAAATAGGGATTTGAATAGCTCGGACACGGATAGGGTGACCCTCCATAAGAGTACATATTCTCTTGGTAGTTGTCGGGGTATCCACGAGACGAGCTTCCGGCATAAGAATGGTCGTACGGGTCCATCGGAGCTCCTCAAGCGAAAGACCTCGCACAAGAAAAACAAAACAACAAAGGCACACGAGACCCAAAAAACAAAAATGCAACTAACAATACACGATATTTACACAAATCCAAAAGAAAAAAAAAACAAAAAACAAAAACAAGAGAAACGGAAAATAAGAAATCAAGAGAAACACTAAAATTAAACAAATATCACAAGAGCAAGAGAAATACGGAAAATAAGATCAACACCAAAACCAAATATCCTACTTGCCTTCCCCGGCAACGGCGCCAAATTTGTTGTAGCAAATTATTTTTATTTTTACCGAGAACCGAATCAAAAGATTCGTTCTGCGGGTCGATCTCTCAAGGAAGACGGTTCGGAATTTAGCATTGGTATTGATCACAAACGAAATGAAAATAAATCCTAAACATTCTAATCACGATTGGTTTGGAGATTTAACTAGAACAAGCCAAAATTAGAAAAGCAATTTAAATAAATAACAATTAAATTTCTAGAGAAAAAGAAGA